ATTGTGTCAGGTTGTGTTGTGTTTTGTCTTGTTTTTTTTGTTTGTTTGTTTTTTATTTTGTTTCTGCTTATTTGTATGTTTTTTGAGATACGGTCTCATGTCATACTTGTTTATGTGACCCAGGCTGGCCTTGAACTCATGGCAGTCCTCCTGCCTCAGTCTCCCAAGTCTGTGTTTATATGTATGTGAGCATCCTCACACACAGTGTACTTTCCTTTTTATGAGATGGGGTCTCACTGTGTTGTCCAGGCTGACCTCAGACTCCCAGGCTCTAGTGATCCTCTTGTCTGAGCCACCTCAGTAGCTGGGACTACCATCGTGGTATATGTCCCATCATGTCCAGCTTGCTACTGTGGCATGCTTTCTAAGACAATTAGGGCAAGTCCCTTGCCACTACTATCTTTGGTGGGGAAGAAGGGAGAAGGGGTTTACTATACTCTTACTGTTTTGAACATAGTTGAGTTATTTCATTAAATTAAAACAAACAAACAAACAAACAAACAAAAAAAAAAACCTTAGCTGAGGATGGTAGCACACGACTGTAATCCCAAAGCACAGGAGAATGAAGCAGGAGGATTGCTGCAAAGTTTAAGGCTAGCCTGGGCTGCATAGCAAGACCTTGTCTCAACAATAATAACAACAAAAAAACCCAAGCAACGTACAATCTTGAATTTGTTTTTTATTCCAGGGGTAGAGATTGAGCCCAGGACCTCATACATGCTAGGCGAGTACTCTGTCACCAAGCTTCACTCTGAGTCCCCACCCTACCCCTTGCCAGGGGCTTGTTCTGAACTTACCTTCTTCCTTTTTGTCTTGTTTGTTTGATCCCGAGACAGGGGCTCACTATGTAGTTCAGGCTGACCTCATACTTACTATGTAGCCCAGTCTGGCCCAAACTCATGGCCATCTTCCTGCCTCAGCCCCCTAAGTGCCTGGATTACAGGTGTACCACCATACCCGGCTTGACCTTGAACTTTGAATCGGTATGCCTTAGTTTCCAGTAATGCTAGGGTGACAGACATCTGCCACTGTGCTCAGCTATTAGAATGTTTTTAATAAGGGAGGATTCACATAATTACATTAAGGCTTCTTCCTTAAAAATGTGTCTTTCAGGGGCTGGGGATTTAGCTCAGCGGCATAAGCACCTGCCTTGCAAGCAGGCAGTCGTGAGTTCGATCCCTGGTACCAGTAAAAAAGAAAAAAAAAAAAAAATGTGTCTTTCTGGGGCTGAGAGTGTGGCTCAGTGACACAGTGCCTGCCTGGCAAATGCAAGGTCCTGAGTTCAATTCCCGGTATCAAAAAAAGTCTCTTTCTTTATTTAGATTTTCTTCATCCCAGTAAAATTATTATTCCCATCATTTAATACCTGTGAAGCACTATAATAGTGATTGCAGTAAAAATTGGAAAAATTCATCAGGAAGTGAGTTAGCAGAAGTCAGGAAGATGTTTGACTGAGTTACCTTGTTCTGAGCTGCATCTGTGGATTGGGTGCCTAGCCTTTGAATATAGCCTTTGGCTCTCTTTTCTTTCTTTTTTTTCTCTTTTTCATTTTTTTTTTGTCTTTTTCTTTTTTATCTGTACCAGGGATCGAACTCACGACTGCCTGCTTGCAAGGCAGGCGCTTATGCCACTGAGCTAAATCCCTAGCCCTCTCTTTTTCATTTTTATCGGTACCAGGGATTGAACTCATGACCGCACACTTGCAGGGCAGGCGCTTATGCCGCTGAGCTAAATCCCCAGTCCCCTCTTTTTCTTTCTTTCTATTGTCTTTTTTTTTTTTTTTTTGAGACAGGATCTTGTTATGCAGTTCAGGCTGGCCTTGAACTCACTTTGTAGCCTAGGCTGGTCTCGAACTCTCAAGATCCTTCTGCCTCAGCCTCTCGAGTGCTGGGATTACAGGCATGAGCCACCACACCAGGCTTTTGGCTCTTTTTTCTAGCTGCTTTCCATGGGACCAGGTAGACCCTGTTACTATTGGTACTGATTGTCTGTGTCCTCTGGTTGGCATGTCACTGCTGGTCATTGAGAGGCTGGCAGTATGTAGTAAGCCACATGGCCTTTGTCGGGGTAGAGAGCCTACCATACTGTGTCCCTCACAGGAACCCATGTAGCCCTGTGGAGGATTCACTCATTTGTAGGGGTGCCTAGGTCAGGTATCTGGGCTGCTGATTTTTCCCAGCCTAGGCTGCCCACTGCCAGTTGCTACCTGAGGTCCCCTCATCCTGTACAGGTGTGGGCCGTCCCACAGACAGGTGTGAGAGTTCTTTACAGCACACCCTTTCTCTCGTCTCCTATAAAGGAAGTGGGCACATGGGCATGTGCACTGCTGTGGTGGGCTTTGGATGGCTTGGGCCATGTCAGACAGGTTCTAGAATCACTGTGGCTGCAGTACACAGGAAGGTTAACCCCATTCGGAGCCACATGGGACATGGGAAGGAAACAAGTGGGGATGGATCCTGCAGGAGTGCAGAAGTGGACTGGGGACCTGGCCAAGATCCTGTCTCCCAAACGAATGTATGACGAAGGCTTAAATGAGACAAGTAGTATGATTTTAGGACTCCAGGAGGATCAAAACCCTCTAGCAGAGTTTGAGACTCTGGGGCCTGAGACAAAGAACTTCTCTGGGTGATCCATATTTATTAGGTTTTCAAACAGAGAGGAGATACTGAGGAAAGTGTGGAAACTGAGCTGGACCTTGGGAGTTACTTCAAAGACTTCTCCAAATTGTAAATTATGCCAATTTAGGAGAACTGTTTTATCTCCGTGATTATGTTTATGGTGGGAATGAGACAGGAGTGAGATGCCTGCAGCTGCAGTCTCTGATACTTAATTGGGATTGGAGCCAGGTGTCCTCAGCTGTGGCCTTACCCTGCCCTTTGAGGCATCTCTGGCATTACATGCCACTACAAGTCTTAGCCAGAACCAGTGATTCATAGAGTTCACTTACTATGAATTGGCTGCCCGTCTCCAGACAAGGGGCTTAGGCCTAGGATAGACTCACAGATAAACATAGAAAGCCAATTAGTTAATCTTAAATCCTGCTCAGAGCCATTTTGTAGTGGTCTCCATTGAAGATGGAGGTGCAGTCCTCTAGAGCCTTAACAAGCAGCATCAGTGTCCAGAGACACTGATGATAGGTGATTCAGAGGGCCTGCCCCGCCACACACATACAGGGCAGTGTGCTCATATGTATTCTCCAGCACAGTTTGCAGAGCTGCTCATGTCTGTGCAGTCTGCCCATCTTTGGCTCTGGACCTCACCCTGGTGCCATAATGATCTCCAGTTTGCAGTGTGTGTCAAAACCAGGGTGACACTAGACTGAGACATGGATTGGTCAGTCAGTCCCCAGGCAGGAGGGGCCATGTAATGAAAGGCTTGAAATGGCCTCTGCTTCTCTGCTGATCAAAGAGACCCCCTTCAGGACCGAAGAGGACCGAGGAAACAGACTTGAGGAATTCCAACATCCTTGCTGCTCCTGCCTGCAAGGAACGGTCTGAACAAAGGCAGGCAGCTGAGAAGTGGCATCTTGCTAGATCAGCCATGGGCACCCAACCTTGGGCACTGAGAGAGCATCACCTTCAGGGTAGCTCATGAACATAACTCTCCTTTCCCACACTGTGCCTGGAGCCAGAGATGGATGTGGAAACCATGGAGGTGACTTCAAGAATAGGTCCCTTACCTGACCCTGTCCTATGGGACAGCAGTGGGGTCTAACATGTTGTATCAGTCTGTTAGGCTGAAACATGTTGTCTTACTTGTTTTTTTTTTCATTGTTAAGACAAAATACCTGCTGCCCAAAATTAGGGAAGGAGAGGTTTATTGATCTCACAGCTTTTTGGAGGTTTCAGACCATACTCGGCTGGGTTCCAAGGCAGGGTGGCATGGCTGAGGGGCAGCTGTTCATTGGCAGCTGCAAACAAGGGCAAAAAGGACAAAACAGAAAACATGCCTCCTTCCTGTCCTTACACTGTACGTGTCAGCTCCACCTCTGGCTGGATGCAGCAGTAATGCCACCAATCCCAGCACTAGACAACGAAACCAGTCACATACTAGATCCAGCCATGTCCATGAATGCATGAGGCCTGGGGAGGCCATCCGAACACAAACCATAACTGGTCTTCAGGGCAGTGCCACCTGCTAGGAAAGACCAGGTGACGGCCAGGTGTCTGGAAAAGGGGTGAGACCCAGTTCTCCAAATCTGCTTCTCTCTCCTTGACTCCTGGACTCAGTTCCATTTTTATTCATCTCTAATTTAGGTGCATTTAAAAATAATAACAGCCAATACTTACTAACTGCTTACCAGATCCTAATCAGCTAATGCCTAGTTTTTCTGAAAGTCACTGAGGCAGGCTCTGGTGATGGAGACATGGTTAGGGCAAGGTCACTTTCCTGAGGAGCCCTTATACTGGCACGGCCTCTGCCGGAAGAGGGCAGTACTGTGGTTGGCAGGGAAGGCTGCAGGTTTCTGCAGAGGTGTCATCTAGCTGCAGCTTCGAGTGTGGTTTGTACACAGGGCCCACACTGAAGGTTATTTCTTGGACGTTGTGTGCCACGGGCTGTGGCCCTGTCCTCAAGAGGACAGACAGATGCAGTGTGAGGATGATGCATATGCTGAATACAGCAGTGAGTGGTACCATCTAGTGGGATGAGGGACAGGGGAGGTCATGCTTCAGACAGAGCAGTGGCCTCTCTGCTGCACAGTGCTACAGAACCTGGGTGAAGCAGTGACCAAGCTTCCAGGGAAGCTTGGAGGTTTTATCCTAACTCCTGAGCCCCACAAGTAATGAGTGGGAGAATACAGCCTTCCTCCTCCATCCCCTTCATCTTCATCCTTCTCCTTCCTTCTCTTCCTCCTCCTCCTCTTCAGCATGCTGTTTGGCCAAGCGGTCCCATCCCAGGTTCCAGTAATGGACCTTTTATCAGAGAGGTCCCAGAGGCATTTGGCTTTGCTAAGGCATGTTTCCTCCTGTGCTCACTGTGCTTTTTCCTTCCCCTTGCAGTGTGAAGGATGACCTCAAGGAAGAAAGTGTTGCTGAAGGTTATCATCCTGGGCGACTCAGGGTAAGCATCCCCTGTATTTGTACCATCACATTGGCTTGGAGCTGAGCCTCACCTCCAGGATCTCCTTTTCTCCACCCTGGCTGGGCTGGTGGGCATTGCTGTGTCCTGCTCTGGGCTGTTCCTCACCTGCTGGTAGGGTACAGCAAAGAAATGATAATGGTCTCATACTCTGCAGCCTTCTTACGCTTCCTGGTTTTCGTAGCATGATTGGCAGGGGGAAGACTGCGGGTGGAGCTCAGCAGTTTCATTTTCATGAGTGTCTTTCTTCCGAGTTAGCCTGTGCGGGGAGGCCTGCTCATGCCAATGCAGTGCCACTGCTGCAGAAGGGTTGCCTGTAGCTTTCTACCAGATGTGGGTTCAACATGCACTGTGCATTGCCTCTGATACCTGTGGTTTAGGCCTGCAGAGGGGGACCAGGTTTCCACTTCTAAATCTGCCACTAACTTTTGAGAGTTCCTGGTGGGCTTTTCAGACTTGGTATCTGTATTGGATAGTTTTCTCTCATTGCTGAGTCAAAATACCTAATGCTCAAAGCTAAGGAAGGAAAGGTTTATGTAGCTCACAGTTTAGAGGTCTTAGTCCATATTCTGCTGACTCCAAGGCAGGGTGGCATGGCCCAGATGACAGCAAAAGCAGCAAGAGTAAAAGGGATTGGAAAGCAAGCGTCTTTTACTCCCGTATGTTATAACCATAGAGCTGGTGTAGCACTCACACCACCTCTGTGCCATCCTCTTGAACAGAATGAGGATGTTTACAAAGTAAGGACCCTGGCTCCATGCTGAATCATGTAGTTAACTTTAGACTTCTCAAGTTGGTGTAATATATCAATCACAACAGTGTCTCAATCATAACAGTGTCTGAAATGACTCAGGAAGGCCTTAACTCATGGGAGGCTTACATATTTGTTAAACATAACAGTAAGAAGCTGGATATGGTATACAAACCTGTAGTCCTAACTACTCAGGAGGCTGAGGCAGGACAGTCACTTGAACCCAGGAATTCAAGTCCAGCCTGGTCAGCATAGCAGGACCCTATCTTCAGAATAATAAAAACTATAGACAGGTATGCCCTTGTGTCCCAGACTTGCTGCCCTTCGCTTCAGAAAGTTAGTGATTTTTCTTTCTTTGCTGGCTTCTACAAACAGCTTGAGGACCTTTTAATAAGCCAGTCCTAGATCAGTGGGGTGGGGTTTAAGTGCCCTGTCCCCTTGCACTGTCAGGACCATCATATACTTAGGCCTGCATTGCCAGATGGACCTGAGAAGAATTAGTAGGCTCTCTCATTCCAGCTTTCCTTGCAGTACTTGCTCCTTTCCCCTGGCAGATCTGGCTCTGGTGGTCTGGTGGACGGGCACTCTGTGGATGCTGTCCGGCTAGTAACCCTGCGAATGAAGGAAAATAATACGTTTCTTTGGGGGTCATAGGTGATGCTGTTGGCCTGGGTGCTTCTACTTAGTCTTTAGGCTGCCCTCGCCTTGGCCCATAAAAGGCCACACGCCACCTCGTGGTGAACGTGGCGTAGAGAAAGCACTTTGGAGTGGCTGCCTTGTGATATGGTAGACTTCTTGGTCACATCTCTGCTTGCTCTGGGGCAGCATGCTCTTTCCAGCCTTGATGCATCAAGCTGTATAACAGCCACCAAGAGGAGAAACACCCAGACTGCAGGAATATTTTGAAATAATGGAGCAATCTTATTTCTGCAGCTTCTTCTTCTTCTTTTTTTTTTTTTTTTGTCTTTTTGAGACAGGGTCTTGCTGTGCAGTTCAGGCTGATCTTGGGCTCACTTTGTAGCCTAGGCTGGTTTTGAACTCGCAGTGGTCCTCTTGCCTCAGCCTCCCGAGTACTGGGATTATAGGCGTGAGCCACCACGCCCAGCTTCTGCAGCTTCTTTAGAAGGAGCGATTTGCTGACATCCTTCTGGAAAGGAAAAGATTGATAACTAGGTTTTACACAGAGCATCCTGTACCAGAACTTCTCAACATTTGGTATACATCAGGACTCTCTATTTTCTTTGTCATTTCCTTTTCTCCCCAGTGCCGGCCCCATTATGTGGTTGCTGGCTGTGTTAAGATGGGGCTCCCCATTGAGCTCCACCCTGCATAGTGTTCTCACCCAGAAAAGAGAGTAGAGCGCCTGGGATGCTGCTGGCATTTGCTGGCACTGGCCATTTCCTGGCACTGGCTACTGAGCACAGCTCCTCCTTTCCTTGCTCCTGCTTCAGGACCTGCAGGTTCCTTATGAAGTTGCGGGTATCAGGGTCGCTTTCAGTCTTTTCCTCTTTGACTTAGACTTGTGGTTTTTCTCTACTTTTAGGGTCGGAAAGACATCACTTATGAATCAGTATGTGAACAAGAAATTCAGTAACCAGTACAAAGCCACAATAGGAGCAGACTTTCTGACGAAGGAGGTGATGGTGGACGACAGACTAGTCACCATGCAGGTAGGCCTGCCACTCACCAGCTCAGTATTTCCCTTCGCTGTCCCACACCTCACTGCTGTGTTTGTGGGTGGCCTGCTACGGGCCTGTCAAACCTATAGCACACACCTGGATGAAATGTATTCCCCCCGCCCTCCATTTTAGTGCCAGTAAGAATGGAGCCTCTGGCTCCTGCATGCAGAGTTAAAACTGTCACCCCTGGCCACCTACCCTGCCTGGCCTGGCTGCCCTGAGGAACCCATGCTGAGTTTGAGGACCTTGAAATGACACAGTACAGTGGAGAGCACATTTGTGGTGTGCTTGAGGTTCTGGGTTCCATTCCCAGCACCCTTACAAAAAACGGAGTTGTACCACTGAGCCACAACTTAGCCGTAAACTGGAATGTCATAACACATGCATGATAAGACACACTAAAATTGTTTCATGGTTTTTGTGAAATTGGAGTTTAATTGGGCTTCCTGATTTTTTTGGTTGTTGCTGATTGTCCAGGGCTTGGAGTTTTGGTTTTTGCTAAATCTGGCATCTTACAGGTTCCTGCGTATGTTTCAGAATGTCTGAACTTTTTCTCCCTTTCTTTGTGGCACTGGGGCTTGCCCAACCAGCCCTCACGAGGCTTGGAAGGGACTGGGTGTCTCCCCCGAAGCAGGTGGCACGTGTTATGATCCTGCAGGTTTGGAGCTTTGCCCCATCACAGAAGGATTCAGAGACTGTACTCTGTCAAGAACAGAAGTCTGTCTGAAGAGTTTATCATGGCAAAGAGAAGTCTGCAGGGACACCTGAAACTGGGCAAATGTGTACATAGCTACACGAGGAAATATGTGCCAGGAGAAATGTTAACAACACAGAATTTTGGGGGAATAGAAACTGCAGTAGAAAAAGGCACTGTAAAATGAGAATATGGAAAACACAGATCCTCAAGAAGCAAGAACCATCAGGCTTGGTAATTCACAACTGTAATCCTAGCATTTGGGAGGCTGAGAAAGGAGGAGGATCACTGTGAGTTTGAGGCCAGCCTGGGCTACATAGTGAATTAAAAGTCTGAACTACACAGCAAGATCCAGTCTCAAGAAGCAAAAAACAAAACAAAAAAAAAAGAAAGTGAAAAACGATTCCTGAAATAAACTAAATGAACAGTTAACCTTAGATTACACACAGCCGAAGAAAACAGTAAACTCCTAGAACCAAGAATTTTTCCTAGAAGAAAACTTCAGAATTGTAGAAGACCAAAGGCAAAATCTTAAGAGCCACCAGAGAAGGAAAGATTAAGTGGATCTATGGGCAGTGGTTAGGCCAGAGAAGGGGTTGGACCTCCCTGCCCCCCTCCCTGCAGAGCTTGGGAGTATGTTTCTGTGTGTTATGGCCTACAGAGTTGGATACTCTGGGGGTCCACCTGTCCCCTGCCTGGCCTGGCTACCCCGAGAAGCCCATGCTTAAGTTCAAGGGCCTTGAAGTGACTGAAGCTAAGTTCAGACTGCAACCCAGAAGCTAATCAGAAGTGTCATGTCTGGGCAAGATGGTACCCTACCTCTTTTTTTTTGTTTGTTTGTTTTCCTGAGGCACGGTCTTGTCATGTAGTTCTAACTCACCTCAAACTTGAACTGATCGTTGCCTCAGGCTCCCGAGTGCTAGAATCACAAGGGCGCATCACCATGCCCAGCCTCTTTTTTTTTTTTTTTAAAGGCCTGGTCTTTCTGGGGTTCCCAAGGTTGTCCTTGAATTCATAATCTGACCCAGCACATGCCCGTGCCCAGCTATCATCCTAGATCTCAAGGGACCCCTACATGCTTTTTAAGGACTTTTAGCAGTAAAAGAAAATCAAAGGAAAAAAAAGGGTTTTAGGAGGAACACAGATGCATCCTCCCTAGTCATTCTGAGTGTTTTTCATTTACAGTAATAACCAAGACCCAGTTTTTGTCACCCAGGCCTCTAGAGCACCATGTAGCATGGTGCTGTATGTTATTATTGTGTTCTGTAGGTAACAGTGTGCAGCTGACAGGATGTGCATGCACTTGGGATGCTAAGGCAGGAGAATCCTGGGTTTGAGAACATCCTAGGTTACATAGTGAGTTCAAGACCCTCTGTCAAGAAAAAACTGAAAGTATTCTTTCCTAAACTGGGTTGTGCCTCACTGGCAGAGCATTTGCCTAGTGCATGTGAGACCCTAGGCTTTGAAAACAAAAATGGAAAAGAAAAGACTGTGTGCAGTGGTGCCTGTCTATAATCTGAGATCAAAAGGAGCAGGGATGTAACTCAGCATGAAGGCCCTGGGTTCACTCTGTGGGACTGGGAAAATAAAAAGAAGGAAAGTAGATGTGCAGTTTCCAAACTTCGGCCTTTGGTGTCCACAGGGCTTGGTCCAGGTGATCCCCACCCCTTCCTCCACAGGTACTCAGGTCCCTGAAATATGCTAGGCATGTCCTCCTGTGTGTCTACCTATGTCACCTGTGGCTGACTGTATGGAAGTAGTGCCTATCATGCATCGTTCCCATCGTGTAATGAATAAGGACAAGGCAGAAAAATGTATGTGACTACATCACAATCTGCTGCTGGGTGAATCCCAGACCCTTATTTCTTGGTACTAGAGACTGAGCCCAGGGCCTTTGCCATGAGCTACATTCCTGCCCTTTTTGTCTTTAGAGAAAGAACATTGCTAAATTGCCCAAGTGGGACTCAAATTTCTGATCCCTCTGCCTCAACATCCCAGAATACAGGGAAAGCAGGCTTGTGCCTACTGTTTCTGACTAAAAATAGAGACGTTCAGAGCTTTGGCATTTTTTTTCTTTTTTTTTTTTTTTTTTTTTGAGGGGTGACAGGAGAGCCTTGGGGATTGGACAGAGGTGAGGACCTCACTCATTCTAGGCCAGCAGACCTTTGGCGTTTAGAAGAGAGAAGACCCAAATCATAAAAGGTTGAAGATGTTACACATCTGAAAAACAAGACTCCCAAAGAATACAGACAGACCCAGATGACAGACAGCCTTCAGGGTGGTGGGCGAGGATTTACTGGAGGTCAGCGCTGGGTCTTGAGGAGTTGCCCCTCAGACAAGGCTAGTGCCTAGCAGGGAAGCTCGTGTCTGGGGGTGGGATGGAGTGGTAGTCTCAGGGCTCTGAGTCCTGGCTGCGACCTGAAGGAGTCCCTTTGGGCAGGGGAGGAGGACAGAATAGTGCTGTTGGCTGCCACCTAAGGTTAGGAGGAGAGATACTTGGTTGAGGCTACGGAGGTCACAGTAGGGTGTGGGGCTGTGCACTGCCGGCCTATGGCTGCCCTCTGTGAGCACAAGCGGGGACCAATGCAGAGACACACAGAGTAGAGTTGTGTAACAGCTGTCTTTTGGGGCCACCAATTTCTGGGGAGCAATGTCATGGGGAAAGGTGACTCTGAACTTTTCTCTTTTTATAAAATGATGGAAGTCGTGGTGTCAGCACAGCTTGTCACCTCTGGGTGCATGGGCAGTAGGACGTGTGCTTAGGCCATGCCTGCATAGGACTCGCTGCCCATTTGCTACAAACAGTTTTGTTTTGTTACATTAAAGCAGTGAGTAGGTAAATGTATAATTTTGAATGTAGAAAATAAAATATTTCTATTAAAATACTGAAAATGTGCCAGGCATTGAGGCACATGTTTTAATCCCAGCACTTGGTAGGCTGAGGTAAGAGGATTGCCATGAATTTGAGGCCAGCTTGGGCCACCTAAGAGTTTATGACCACCCTGTACTGCATAACAAGACCTTGTCTCAAAAAAAAAAAATTTTTTTTTTAAATGTAAAAGACCACTCAGATAAAAATTTGAATTTATATTACCTTTGGAAGTTTCTGGAAACAGCCCCTCCTGTTTCAGCTAACCATTCCTTGGCCTTCTCTCGTTTATCTGAATTCCAAATCACCACGGGTTCCGAACGCCTGGGAGAAAGAGAGTTCTCAGCAATGCCACTGTTGGGGTTCTGTCCAGAGGAAGCCACGGGACCACATGGGCCTGAAATCCCAGCCATGAGGGAGACTAATGTGGGGTCTGTCTCCACACGGAAAGGGAAAGGGCTGGGGCTGGAGCACTAGTAGAGTGCAGGGCTTTCGTTCCCAGCACTGCTGGTAAAAGCCATTTTCCAAGGGAAAGCTGAGCTACACGTGAGTATAATGCAGAGCTGTTGGCAAGAATGGACCAGTGTTCTCAGGGCCAGAGTGAGCAGCTTGCCGAGTTTGTTGGGCAGAAGTGAAGCTGGGCCCCATCTCAGGAGAGTGGCGTGCTGTCCTACAGGACCGAGGGGCATGCAGAGAGGGCACGAAAAGCACTGAGAGGTGGTGTGGCTCTGAGAACAGTGATTGCTGCGTGAGGCCCAGGGCTGGGGTTAGGTGTGGCTTTGGTTTTGGCTTTGTTTAGTTATTTTCCAGATGTTTGCGAGACTGTACTTTCCTGATGGGTGTGTGTGTGTGTGATTAATTTGCCTCTGGATTCACATTTCGTCTTTAAAGCTTGGCTTTTGAGCCAGACACACCTGTAATCCTGGCTTTTTGGGAGGCTGAGGCAGGATAGTTAATTGCAAGTTTCAGTCAGCACAGCCTGGAGACTTAGTGAGGCCCTGCCTAAAAATAAAAAATAGAAGAGAATTGTGCTTGTCACTCATTGTGCAGGCTCTGGGTTCAACGTCCAGTACTGCAGAAGCCAAACTTTTTAAAGTTCATTTTGTTCTGCAGTACTAGAGAAGAAACTTAATGGCCCTCTGCATGCAAGACAAACACCCCACTCCTGTTGATTTTCAGTTTTGAGGGAGGGTCCTGCTAAGTTGCCTGAACTGGTATGGGCATGCAGTCTTCCTGCCTCAGCCTCAGTGGCTAAGATTATGGGTATGCACCCCCGAGCCCAGAGTGTCTCCATACAGTGCTACTTGGAGGCTGAGAGAGAGGAAGGTCACAGGTTGAAGACCAGCCTGAGAAATGTTTAAAAAGACCCAGGAATGTAGCTCGCAGGTAATGCTCTCAGCCAGTACATGCCTTGCCATAGTTTTACTGTCAACTCTGAAAGTATATGAAAACTTTTCTAGTAGCCCAGAAACAGACTGCTTGCAAGACTCAGTCTGAATGTAGAGCCACTCTGGATACTGCTCTAGAGTCCCTGTCCTTATCCTGGTGCATCTCCAGGGCACCCTGCCTTTGTCCCTAGCAACCATTGTCCTTCTTTTGCAGTTGTTTTTTTTTTTTTTTTTGGTCTTTTTGAGACAGTTCAGGCCGGCCTTGAGCTCACTTTGTAGCCCAGGCTGGTCTCGAACTCGCAACGATCCTCCTGCCTCAGCATCCCAAGTGCTGGGATTACAGGCGTGAGCCACCACGCCCAGCTGTCTTTTGCAGATTTGGGACACAGCCGGTCAGGAAAGGTTCCAGTCCCTTGGCGTAGCCTTCTACCGCGGCGCAGACTGCTGTGTGCTGGTGTTCGATGTAACAGCCCCCAACACATTCAAGACCCTGGACAGCTGGAGGGATGAGTTTCTCATCCAGGCCAGCCCCCGGGACCCTGAGAACTTCCCCTTTGTCGTGCTGGGGAACAAGATCGACCTCGAAAACCGACAAGTAAGTGCCAGAGACTAGTGCTATGCTGGAAGGGTCCCTTACCTTGTGGTTTGGGCTGTATCTTGCTCTCAGAGCCAGACCTTGTTCCTGTACTTGGCAAGAGGAGAGTTAACTTGTCACCTGCAGTGGGGTCTCTGGTGTGCACGAGATGGCTCAGGCATGGGTGGCATCACCTGTGTATGTCAGGCATGTGTCTCTGTGAAGACGTGCCCTTACACTGGTGACAGCATGCTTGCCTTTCAGCCCTCTGCCAAGATCATCCTGGGCTGGATTGGGGTAGGGTTAGGGGCAAGAGCTTCAGAATGCTGGCACAGAGCCTGTGGCTCTGTTGAGACAGAAGTAACAGGGAGGATGCACTCACTTCCTAATGGCTGTAAGGGAGCCCTGGCTAAAAGATCTGAGCTGGCCGGCAGGTGGCCAAGGCCAGGTCTGTGGTCCCCCTGTCTTATTCCCGAGTCAGGGCAGCCATCTGTGTTATAGCACACTGGGGTCCCATTTCCTTCTCTAGGTGGCCACGAAGAGGGCACAGGCCTGGTGCTACAGCAAAAACAACATTCCCTACTTCGAGACCAGTGCCAAGGAAGCCATCAATGTGGAGCAGGCGTTCCAGACAATCGCCCGGAACGCGCTCAAGCAGGTGAGTCCTCAGGGAAGATGCTGAGCTCTGCTCCAACCCTGGGAGCCTGCTCACATCAGATCCTGTGGGAGGCATGAGCCATGAAGCCCTGGGCCAAGGCCAGCCCACATGTCTGTGCTTCCCTGGCTCATTTCCGTGCTCTTAGGCGGTCAGGCCTTCAGGAGGCCTGGACAGATGTCAGTCCTAAAATGGGGGCTTTAATGTCCTCTGAAACGCTGTCCTCTCACCTGCTTTGCAAGGGCACACTTTGAAGTATGTATTAGGAAAGGGAATGCAGGAAGAGGTTAGCAAGGATTCAGAGTCCTGAAGCTCCTGTCAACCATCCCTTCCACAATGGCCACAGGTGTGACAAAGGTGGTGCAGGTGGAGCAGCTCTACTGGGGACCAAGTCAGGTGAAGGTGGGCTCCAGGTGTCACCACATACACACGGTGACAGCTGCTGGCGTGTGAGGGGAGCTTTGGAGGAGCAGTGATAGCTGGGAAGGGCAAGGCAGGATCTGCTACCAATAGGGGTCCCTGGCTCTCAGTGGCACCAGGCAAGGCACATTGTTGAGGGGAGGTCGTGGGAACCGTTACAAGCTGTGTCCCGAGGACAGATGCCCATCAAGGACCCACAGTGAGGCCAGGACACAGGCAAGGACAAAGCCACCCTGCCCACAGCAGCTGCTAATTTAGGTTTTGTCTTATACCCTTCAGTAGGGCTTTATACTTCTTCAGCTCCATTGCCTTTCATGTTGCACACTCTTCCAGGTACTTGGTGTGCAGAACGCTGTTACTTGTCATGATCGGAAAGTAGACCTGAAAGTCCAAGTAACAAATGAATAAACAGGGTCTAAGCCATGTGTGAAGGCACACACCTATCATCCTGGCACTCGGGAGCCTGGAGCAGTAGGATCACTGAGAGTTGAAGGTCAGCCCTGCCTGGCCACATAGTGAGTTTAAGGCTAATCCAGAATATGTCACCACACCCTGTCTCAAAAGCCAAAAAAAGAAAGACATAAAAAAGTTATTTATGCTCTAGAATATTAATTTATCTCTAAGAAGGAAAGAGCTGACAAATGCTGTAACAGGATGCTGAGCAGAAAGGGCAGTTCACAGGGACCTCACATGCCATGGTTCCCTTTAAAGGAATGTCTAGGCCTAAGACATGGCTCGGTGGCCCTGGACTCCAGCTCTTGTACTGCAGAAGAACAAAACAGGTCAGAAGAGGAAATGCATGAAACAGGGTATAGATGAGTGACTGCCAGAGCCAGGGTTAGAGTGGCGGAAGCTGCACTGTGGGGTGATGAATGTTCTGGACTGACAGTAGTGATGACTGCCCAGTTTGTAAGTACATGAAGCAGCCCATCTGACTACCAAGCATATGAATAATTTTTCTAGGCAGTTCTTCTATTGCAAGGCTGGGGATGGAACCTGGGCCCCGCGAACACTGGGCAAGTGCTCTGCCCTGAGCCACAGCCCAGTCTTAGGAAACCCCCCTGCTTTTCCTCCAGAGCCAAGCACGGAGCTCAGTTCCCACACATGGGATGGAAAATAGGGTACTGCGTACCTGTGTTCCTAAGTGTCTTGGTTACTTTGCTCGCAGAGAGAAAATACCCAACTCTCGAGGAGAGAAATTGAAAGGAGGAAAGGTTTCTTTTAGTCCACAGTTTATAGAGGTTTCAGCTCAAATAGTTGGCTGGCCCCAGGCAGGGTGCATAAGCAAAGGGGCGTCACAGAGGAGAAATACTCCATAGCAAGCAGGCAGGCGAGGGCAAGGAAGGACGACCATGGATGCTCTTTCTGCCTTGTATAGCTCATGCAGCCTACTTAGGGCAGGTAGCACTCACAGCTAATCCTTGAATCTATCACCCTTGGTCCTAGCATTGCACTGCGAATTATCCCAGCATCCCCTCTGAAAAATCCCCATGTGTACTGTGTGAGGCTTAGAAGGGGGAAATCTAGACACAAACAGTAGCACTTAGCCTGAAGCGTTTGAGAAGCAGATCTCTCTGAAGCCTTTGGAGAAAAAGAAAACAAGCCATAGAGCAGCAGCCCAGAAAGACCAGCCTGCAGTGGGGTGTGGGTGAGTGTGTGGGGCTGCGGCGGCCGGTGCACAGCCCTGACCGTGATTCTCAGGGCAGCAGAGAGCACAGTGAAGCCTGCATCATCCATGGAGCACTGCCGGCTGGTGCGGCCCATATGTGGCCATTGGCTGGGGACATTGGGCAGCAGCTCCCATGTCCACTGCCTCTTGTTGCCCTCTGAGGGTGATGTTCTGTCCTCGCCCTGTAGGCCCTGATAATGACCATGTCCTTCTCCCTCGCCCCACTCCAGGAGACAGAGGTGGAGCTGTACAATGAATTCCCCGAACCCATCAAACTGGACAAGAACGACCGGGCCAAGCCCTCGGCCGAGAGCTGCAGCTGCTGAGGGCGACAGGCACCAAGCACAGAGTCCTTCAGAACCAAGAACACACTTAGGCCTTCAACACAGCCCCCTTCTCTCGACACAAAGACATGGATCTCTCACAGTCAGCTGCCAAAAGGAACCTTCCCCCACCCTTCACACACACATACACACATGCACACGCACACGCACACACGGCAGCCCATGCCTCAATGGTCCTAGGGCTCTGAGCCCATGAGCCCTGAGCCTGGCAGCGGTGGGCCGGATTCTCTAGAAACCATTCTGGCGAGCAGTCGGCATGGGAAGCATAGGCTTGTTGTCCACTGGAGAGAGAACTGTTTACAGTTAATCTGTGTCTAATTAGTCACCTGATTTTTTTAACGGTCTTGTGGTCTTTTTACCCTCCCCATCCCCATCCTCGAAGGCCCCTTGGGAAGGCTGGTGCCCTTGCTTGTCCCTGCCCATACCCCAGTCGATCAGGCTGTTTTGTATGTATCTGTTAATGCTTGTTACTTTTAACTAATCAGATCTTTTTACAGTATCCATTTATTATGTAATGCTTCTTAGAAAAGAATCTTATAGTACATGTTAATATATGCAACCAATTAAAATGTATAAATTAGTGTAAGAAACCCTTGGATGATGTGTTGAAGTCCTGTGATGTAGGCATGGAAGGCGGAGGGTCAGACCCTGTACAGATGGCAGGGTTGGCGACCCAGGTGTGGCATCCAGCTGTCAGCAGTATTGTGTACAGCAGACCCGAGCAACGCACGCCTCTTCTCAGAGACTGAGCTGGAAAGCTTGCACCTGCAGGGGAGCTGCTGGCTCCCGGGGCTCTGGATTCTCCCCAAGGTTGATTTGCGTAATCCAGCGGTGTATGCAATGGATCCCCGGCTGTTACTTCTGAAATTGAAGCTCACTCCCTTTTCAGTTGTTTCTTTTTCTGCTTCACACAAGAACTCCTATTAGATCATCCTCCCCTGTTCGAGGTGAGGACCAGACAAGGCTCGGCCATCTGTCCTGGTGTCCTCCCTCCATCCTCGAAGGCGCTCCCTGCAGGCCTTGTCCCATCCTTCGGCCCCTGCCCTGGGCCTGCCTGGAGCCCTGGCCAGAGTACGCCTCACCAGAGGTCTCTGTGTTAGGTATAGGCTGAGTTCTCCTGTAAAGAGATGAAAGCGATGCCAATAAAATGTAACAAAAACAAAGCAAACAGCCTCTGCCCTGTCTTTATTCCTTCCTGTAGACCCTGGACTCACCAGCTCTCTGAGGGGCCCTGTGGTGTGTGTCCTAAGGAGGATGGGGCAATTTCTGATGCCCAGGATGAGCGAGAGGACCCTGAGTGGAGGCACAGAGTGAACTCCTGGTGGTTGGGGCCATGTGTTGCCTGTGGGTGTGTCAGTGTCACCTGACCATGTGGTTAACACTCAGGTGTTATGTAATCAGAAGATTGAGCAACAAGGCTCCTGACACCAACATGGTGTCAGTCTCAAACTGGACCTGACTAGATGCCACTGAATGATTTCAGGAAAGCACTGATGAGTCCTCCAGAGCATCTGGCTAGGTTTTGCAGGTGTGCCTTCTGACGTAGCCCTTTGTGCTACCTGGATGACATTGTCTGATGACTTCTTAGGTTCCTACTGCTGTCTTTGAAATACCATTCTCTATTGTTGTGGTGGCACATGCCTGTAAGCCCAGCACTTGGGAGGCTGAATTAGGGTCGCCACAAGTTTGAGGCCAGCCTGGGCTGGCTGAGCTACACAGTGAGTTCAAACCTAGACTGGATTATATATAGGAAGATTCTGTCTCAAAGATAAGTAATAAGATTCTGGTACCCAGCATACATTTGTAGGTCCTGCTACTTTGGAGGCTGAGGAAAGAGCATCACTTGACCTCAGGATTGGAGGCCCAGCCAGTGTAAATAAGACTCACTGTTTTGTCTCATTTCAGAAAATACTGCCACCAAAAGTTAAAAGGAGGAAAGGTTTATTTAGTTCAGTTTGTAGAGGTTTCAGACCATAATCAGCTGGCTGCAAGGCAGAGTGGGATACACAAGGGCAGCAATTCCAGGCAATACTTCAAGGTTGGCAGAAGACAAAAGCAGTAAGCGAAAAAGGGAGAACAAGCCTCTAACCCTCCTATTGGAAGCAGACTGCCCCTTTTTCCCAGGGCAGGAGTAGCACTCATACTATGTGCCCTCTTGCAGAGTTTGAGATATTTGCAAAGTGAGGACCCTGGCACCCTGCTGGGTTAAACTTCCCCAGTTGACAAAATGTATCCAGCCCTTGTTAACTTGACAGCCAAACACATTTCTTTAAACTGCTTTCCAGATACAAAGAGCTACTATCATTTTACAACTTGAATATTTAGGAACCAGTATTAAGATTATCAACATTATATAACATTGGAATCATAGCATCCCCCCCCCAAGACTCATGCACATCCCTTTATATAAAGTCTTAACAGTTTCAGCATTGCTGAAAAGTTCAGGTTCCAAGTCTTCTCCATAATATAAGGCAACTCTTAGCTGCAAGCCCTTGTACAAATAAAAAATGAAACCCTTCCAACATTCAATGGCACAAGATAAACATTTCCATTCCAAAAGTTAAAAATGAGAATACAAAAGATTGAGACCATAGCAAGTCCAAAATCCAGGACAAAATAAGTGCTGTAGTTCATGTGTAGTATCCAAGGCAGTCTGGCAAATCGTCATCTCCAAAGGCCTTGGGTGGCTCCACACCTATGGCACTTGTTGGGAGAGCTCCCAACAGGTCTCTCTTAGACCTACTTTGCTCACTTCTTGCAGCTCTCCCCAGACAATCCAGGCTCCTGGCTTTTCCACACTTTAGTCTTCACTATACCTTTGTTTTCATACAGCTTCTCATACTGCCCTCTCAGTTACTGCCTGGCCTCCCAGGCCTTGTGAGAATGGGATGGAAATCTTAACACCACAGCTCTTGCATTCTGCATGCACCAAAAACCAGTGCCATGTGGATGATGCCAAGGTCTGCTGCTAGCTGGAGCAGCAACCAGGCTTTACTGTTTCTTGTCTGTAGGGGTCAGGTGCCTGGATCACTGGGTACTCTGAATACAAGTCTGAGGAACAAATGTTATCTCGTGCTTCCATTCTTCAGGGTTTATTTTTTCTTTTTATCGGTACCGGGGATCGGACTCATGACCGCCTGCTTGCAAGACTGGTGCTTACGCCGCTGAGCTAAATCCCCAGCCCCAATGCTTCCATTCTTGAATTTGTGCTCTGTGGCTTTGTCCTCAAAGCCTCAAAGCAGTCTTTCATATTTGCAGTTTTGAGGCTGCAAAGGATAGCGACTTGCTGCTTTCTGTGATGCTTTCTGGCCATCCTTTCTAGTCTTCTTAGCAATTGAGATCTTAGTTCTATGTTTTGGTCTACAGCTTTACTGGAGTTTCCTTTCTGGCCAAACTCACAATACTTTAAATCGTCTTGCTGGGGTCTTTGCTCTTGAGAGTCAACATAGATCTGGCTGAAAGCCCCCAGTGGTAGCCATGCCTCAACATTAGACTGCCTTGAAATTTCTTCTTCCAGATTAATTAGTCCACCACCCTTCATCTCAGTGTAGGCAAAGTCTCTTGGATGTAAGTAAAACGCAGACAAATGATCTGCCCACGTGTAACACACTTTGTCTGGAGTCCAACAACCAGTGCAGCTTCTTCCCTGCAGAAACCTGAGCCTTGTCTTTACTGGAAGAATTTCTGTCAGCCTTCTGGTCTTCTAAGCTCTGACCAGACTCTCCCAGGCTATTCTAGCTCTAACACCTTTAGGCGGCATGTTTGAACCTTTCCAAACTCTTCCCATGGGACATTCTTCAAAGGCTGTGGAACCACACGGTCAGGTATAATCACAGCAACTACCCCACTCCTCTAGTACCAAATTCTGTTACTTTTCTCTTACTGCTGAGAAAAATCCCCACACCCAAAGTTAAAGGAGTAAAGGTTTATTTAGTTCACAGTTTGTAGACGTTTCAGTCCGTAATCAACTGACTGCAATGCAGGATGATGTGGCACAGGGGCAACAGCTCATAGCAGCAGAAGACAGCCAGAGCACCGAGAGCAAAAACGGGAGAATAAGCCTCTTCCCTTACACTGTAAGCAGGCTACCCCTTACCCCCTCCTCTACCTAGGGCAGCTGTCGCACTCACACCATCTCCATATCCTCCTCTTGCACAAGATGAGAATGTTTAAACAGCTATATTTCTCAAGTTGACATAATGTAACAACCATTACAGAATCCTATTTCAAAATTTAATAATCATGGGCCCAGGAGGTAGCTCTGGCCAAAGGGATTGCCCTCAGCGTTCAATCTCCACTACCAGGGAAAACAAAAATGTTCCACATCATTCTGATATGTAGGTAATACTTAACTAATCTAAATGTATCTCAGCAGTGTAAGTCTATTGCAGAGGCAAGAAACAGCATTCTCTATGTCTTGTGTGATCCAATTTCTCTACATAGTCTCAAATTGGAAAGTAGTACACCAAGTTCAAGGTTCTGGCTTTTCTGTAAGAAAACTGGGTTACCCGACCCTGTGATTCCCTTCTTGAAAATCTCCTAGTGATAGCTCATGGAGGAGTTGAATCTTGCCCACCTGGCTCCTGAGTCAGAAAGGCAGCTTATAGCCAGCACTTGTAAAGCTGAGGCAGGAGGATCACTGCCAGTGTGACACTAGCCAAGGGAAATAACCCACTGGGTTCTCAGGACAGCTGGAGGAGCCTGGTCAGGGCCAGGCTGGGTGCCAGCTAGCAGGACTGCTGCCTGTTTTCCACTGACTCCCTTTGTAGAGACTATTTTAAATGTAAAGGAAATTTTAAAATCTTGTATTTCTAATACTAGTACATTTCTAACATTGTTCAAGGATGAGACTGGGCAACATATTCATGATTAGGATACTACAAAATTTAACAAGCCTTTATGCTCCAGGTGTCAGCTGCAAGATGAGTATAAAGTAGACAGTCATGTTTAGCTTGCTTTCAAGTCCCTGAGACTTGTTACTTCATGGATACCTCCGCCCAGCATCAGATAATGATGGATTATTCCTCTATGTTATAGTAACTTCACTTAATTTGTTTAGAAAAAATCCTGCCTAACACTGCCTAACAATGTGACAAGATGTGTAGTCAATTGTAAAATATTATGTGCATTTTGTACTTCCTTTTGAAAACCTATATAAATGATTGCTAACCTGAAGTCAGGGCTAGTGATTTGGAACTGAGGTCCCCACTAGTCTGCTAGAGTAATAAATGTGTATGTCTCCTAAAGTTCCTTTGGTGCCCATTGTCTTCCATTTGGTCTGGTCCTGAATTCTGCAGCATATCATGTAGACTTGCTTGGGGAAACACCATGCTGACTATTTGGTCACTGGTGAGGAGGCCCGCTGACTACTGGGTACTTGATCTCTGAACTGCAAATGAGAAGGTACACCCTTTTAATTCTTTCCTTGGAGTCCCCACAGTGGGAAAGGAGTGGGAATCCTTCTGTAGCAGCAGTGACTCATTGGACCCTAAGTGGATGCTGAATGCAACAAAGCCAACCAGCTGATGGATAAAATAGGATTGCCACAGGGACAGTTGTTAGCTATCCTCAGTCTGTTTGTTTCTGTTTCTGTCTCCCATGTGAGATGGTGGGGTACTGATCATACCTGCCTGCTTGTGTTAGCCTGCACAGCCGGATTCTGTTTTGAATTTAGTGAGACATTGCCCTGGGGGTTGGGGACAGGGATGTATTTAACCTCTATGTTTTGGGTGTGGATGTGTAGGCTGCGTGAGAACACACAGCATATGCAATAAGCTATTCCATCTGTGCACCAAGACTTGGAAGCACTGGTCACAGTGCTTGATTGGGCTCTTACCTGTGTTTCCATGGTGATCAACATACAGCATAACAAGGGCCTTGAATCCTCCTTAGCGAGGTCCTACCTAAGACTCTGCAAGAGGTGTGGCATCTGAATGGCTTTTCTCTGAAGGACTCCTTTCCTCTGCCTGTGGTGACTGTTCAAGGGCACTACACACAATATAGGGAGCCAGTCAGTGTGCACACTAGCTAGAATAAGCTGACTCCCATGAAGTATATGGTGAAAAACTTCAAAAAAGACTTTGTGGAAGGCTACAGAAGAAACTGAAACCAAAGTGCCTCTGCACATTTTGCAAAACTGGGTGGCCATCCCTGTGTCCTGCTTTGCTG